TTTACATTTTTTCCCTTTTATGGAATCACCAGATAAAGATGAACCTCAAAAACCTCATGCTAAATGAAAGAGGCCACACACAAGAGTACATATCATAGGGTTCCATTTACATGAAATGTTTAGAAGAGGCAAAGCCATCGACTGGAATGTAGAACAGCTGCCTGGTGCTAGGGATGAGAGGGACACTGACCGTAAATATGGAAAATGGAATGTTGAGGGATGATGGAACTGTTCTAAAACAGGACTGTGCTAATGGCCATACAAGTGTATAAATGCACAAAAAAATCATTCAACTGTGCACCTATAATGGGGACATATTATTGTATGTAACTATATTTTGGTAGTTTCATATCATTTAAAAAATTAATTTCTCAGCTTAGATTATCTCCATTGTACATGAACATTCTTAACCATTACATATTGGGGAAAAAACAGTCCTGTTTCTGTCATTGAGTGATGGAGGTATCAAGAATTATACAAAAATAAATAAATAAATAAGCCCATAACAATTAATTGTACGGGCTGTTGTTTTTTTTAAATCATATTTATTCAATTTTACCCCTTTGCCATCTTCCACCCATCCCACCCTGCCCTCCACTCCCACAGTCAATTCCCACTCTGTTGTCCATGTCCATTGGTCATTCATACATATTCTTTTCTAGTCCCTGCTCCTTCTTTCCACCATTGTCCTCCTTTCCCATCCCCTCTGGTCACTTTCAGTCTGCTCCATGTTTCCATGCCTGTGGTTTATTTTGTTCGTTAGTTTATTTTTGTTGAATAGATTCCACTTTTAGATGAGATCATACAGTATTTCTCTTTCACCAGCTGGCTTATTTCACTTAGCGTATTATTCTCCATTTCCATCAATGTTGTTGCAAAAGGTAGGAGTTCTTTCTTTCTTTTTTTTTAAATGCAGACTGATCTTATTTATTTTTTAAAAATGTCAATATCCGTGATAAAATATTAAAAAATTGAAATCCATTATAAAGTCTCGGCAATTAAAACAAGACAGCAGCACAGAAATAATCAAGTAGATCAATGAAATAAAATGAGCATTCTAGGCACAAACATATATCTGTCTAGCAATGTACTATATGGTTAAATTGATATTTCAAATCAATGGGGAAAATAAGGCTTATTCAACATAAGGTGTGTGGACCATTATCACCTGAAATAAAACATATAGAGCCCTATTTCACATATACAACAAATATCCAGGTGAGTTAAAAAACAATATGTAAAATCTAAGGAGTTTTAGGAGAAAATACAAAATAATATTTTTCTTACCCTGAAGTAAAATATTTAAACCCAGAAGTTATAAAGTAACATATTGACAATATGATGATATTAAACATTTAAGACTCTACAATAATATATATATATATAAAAAGTTAAAGGACAAGTAATAGAATAGGAAAGTATTTGCAGCACATTTAAAAAATGGTTAATAGTTTTCTTTTTAGGACAAAAATTTTATAAACATTTAGTCAGAAAATGGATAAAGAATACAAAAAAGTCATTTAAAGCTTTTTTTAAAAAATTTTTATTTTAATTTATTTTTTCAAATACATTTGTCTCTGCCTCCCCCCCCAACACTTTCCCTTGCCCCCTCCCTCCTTCCTTCCCTCAGCTCTTCCCCTTTGGTTTTGTCTATGAGTCCTTGCTGTATGTTCCTTGTTAAAAGTAACAGAAATAGGCATGAAATACACAAAAACAGGTTTAGTTTCAACAAATAACAAAGTAACACATCATTGTCACAATCAGATTAATAAGTATTAAAAATATTGGTAATATCAAGTATTGGTGACTGTGAAAGGAACTGGGTATTCATAGACTCTTTTTCTTCATCTTAAAGCAGTCCCTTTAGCATATCTTGCAGTGCTGGTTTCGTGGAGGTGTATTCTTTTAGCCACCTTTTGTCAGGGAAACCCCTTATTTTGCCTTCCATTTTAATCAAGAGCCTTGCTGGGTAGAGCAGTCTTGGTTGGCAGGCCTTTACTTTTCACAACTTGGAATATTTCTTGCCATTCCTTCTGGCTTGTGGTGTTTCTGTTGAGAAGTCAGCTTCTAGACGTATCAGGGCTCCCTTGTATGTTACTACCTCTTTCTCCCTTGCTTGCTTTAGGATCCTCTGTTTGTCTTTGATATTTGGCATTTTATTGATGATGTGTCTTGAAGTGGGCCTCATTGGGTCCCTCTTGAATGGGACCTTCTGTGCTTCTTGGACTCTGTGACTTTTTTCTCTCCCCTAATTAGGGAAGTTTTCCATTATTTTTCAAACAGAGTCTCTATCCCTTGCTCCTCCTCTTCTCCCTCTGGTATCCCGATTATACAGATATTACATTTCAGGTTGTCCTGCATTTCCCTCAACGCCTCTTCATTCTTTTTTCATTTTCTTTCTGTTTCTGGGAGCTTCTTTCTACCTTGTCCTTCAGCTCACTGATTCGATCCTCTGCTTCATCAAGCCTGCTTTTGATTCCTTCTATTGTGTTCTTCAATTCAGAAATTGTATTCTTCATTTCTTCTTGTCTCTTATTGATATTTTTTGTGTCCTTTTTCATGATGATATGGTTTGCAGTAAGTTCTTTGTAGTTTCCCTGTAGTCTTTTGTAATTCTCTCTGAGCTCACTGAGCTCACTGAGCTTCCTAAGAACCATGGTTTTGAACTCAATATCTGATAGTTTACTTGCCTGTATTTCATTTAGTTCTCTTTCTGGGGATTCTTCCTTTCCCTTTGACTGCAGGGGTGGGTGTTTCTTTGTCTTCCCATTATTTGTGAGACGACTCTTTTTTGCTTCTGCTTCTTAAATTGATCTGTCTTGATTTCCTGATTTTGTGGTGTAAACTTCTATGGTAGGAGACCGCTTTTTTTTCTTTCTGGATCTGCCTCTGATGATGTCAGATGTTGACCCTGTGTGACCCTAGGCAATCTGTTCGAAACCTCCAGGAATCTACTGTTTGTGGCTGGCTCCTTCTGCTGTTAATCCCTATTTACATTTCTTTCATTGTGAACATTGGTTCATTTTTCTGTAGGGTTCCTGGTGGTTTTCTTGGAAGCTCTTTTTATATTGGAGGTCATCTCTTAGTAATATAAATTAGAAATATTTTTTTGCCAGTATTAATTTTTTTTCCTCATGGAGTTTATTTCCTTATAAAATTTTTTTCAAAAATATAACTGGATTTATCACTCTTTTTTATTGCATCTGGATTTTGTGTTATGGTAAAGTTTTCCCTACTCCCAGGTTATGGAAGAATTTTCTAAATTTTTTCTTCTAGTTCCTAGATGATCTTATTCTTTTTTTACATTTAAATTTCTGGTTTATTGGGAAATTATGGTGCATGGTATGAAGATTGAATTTAATTTTCAATATGACTGTCCAATTATATTCAACTTGTAAAAGAGTCCATTTTTTTTTGTAACTGACATAGCTTTTATTTCCATATACAGTTGGTTTATTTCTAGACTTTCAGTTCCATTCCATTGATTGGTCTGTCTGTTCATGTCCTAGTATTAGTCTTAGTTTTAGAAACTTTTTATAGGTTTTAATAACTGATGGAGCTAGCTATCTTCTTGTTTCTTTTTAAAGTAGCTTTTCTATTTACTCTTGTTTGTTTTTTCCATTGAAGTTTTTAATTAGGTTTTCTAGCTCTATAAAGTAATTTGAGGCATTTTACTACCATTATTTTACATTTTTTAATTTAAAAAGGGAAAACTAGTATCTTTATATAATATTTGAGTTTTGCTATCCAAGAACAAGATATATATTTCTATCTGTTCATGTATGTATTTTTTTATCTTTTAGGATTTAAATCACTCATAGTTTTGGACAGTTCTATCACTTGATATAACTTTAACATAATATTGTGGATTTTTTTTTAAGTTTTATACTCTTTTTCAGTCTTGAGCCTTACCCTTCGTAGGATAAAATTTCCCATTTATGCTTTCTATCACAATTTCTATAATAGGGAAAACCTCTTGTGAGGCACACTTCAGAGGTTCTCCAGATCTGGCTTGTACTACCTGGAAGAGAACCCTAATTTTATTGGGTTATAGTCATTCTAGAGGAAACAATTAGAAAACTATTTAAGTATGAGTATCTGTCCTCTGATAACTTGGGGAGTGTTGACAGTGAGTTAGCAGTCTGATAATAACACTTGATTTTCTGCCCTCTCTTGGATATTGTAGTTGCCAGACCTAGATTGTCCTTAAAAAGTTAGGATGTTTTATTACCATGGGAAAGACATGAGAAAAGTGTATAATTCTGGGATATCTGCTCTTGATACTCAGGAAATGCATGGAATAATGGTACTTCCAGAGAGGACACATAAAAGTGACCTCTATCAGAATCCCAAAAAGATAAAGCCATTAGATTGAGGCTGGGAGGTGGGGGTGGGTGAGGCAGGGGGAAGTGGTGGCAGGAAAATGGAGACAAATGTATCTGAATAATTAAAAAAAAGATAAAGCCATTAAAAAAAATTCAACCAGGTTTTACACCAATAGTCCGTTTGAGAGAAGCCCTATAGTATACACAAAAATTACACCTCTTTCCTCCATACTTTGTGAGTGAGTGAGTGAAACACACACAAACCCCTGACAGTTCCTTGAGACTTGGTATTTGGTAAAATGATGATAGAGATTAGTACATAGACCCTTTCTTGTGTCTTCTGCCTTTTGCTTGGTACCTGACACTGAAACTATTGAGATGATTCAAAGTGTTTAGAAGGTCTCATTTTTGTATATATTAGCTGACTTTTGACTATAAAGCTGATACTCTACATTAGTAACAAGCCCTTTCTTTAACAATTTTGCATCTTGTCTATCCTGTTTTCTTATCCATCCCTCTTTACCCGACTCGTCCTAAGTGATTACTTCATAGGGAGAAGGGCAATGTGAAATAAATTAAGGTTGAAGAATGAGTTGTGCAAAATCTGGGGAAGAAAATACAGGGGTTACCATTTCTTCTTGGAGCTAATTCCTTGTGTGTGGCCATCTTGTATAGATGGAGTTGTTTATGCCTGGGGCCACAATGGATATAGCCAGCTTGGGAATGGGACAACCAACCAAGGCATTGCTCCCATTCAAGTCTGTACCAATCTCTTGATCAAGCAAGTGGTTGAAGTAGCTTGTGGCTCACATCATTCAGTGGCTCTGGCAGCTGATGGAGAGGTAAGTGCCTTGCTTTTTTTCTTTAAATTGTGGCAAAATACACATAATATAAAATTTACCATCTTAACCATTTTAAGAGTACAGCTCAGTGTCATTGAGTACTTTCACTTTGTTGCATAACCGTCACCACCATTCATCCACAGAACTCTTTTCATTGGCCAAAATGAAACTTTATACCCATTAAACATTAACTCTCTACTTCTTTCCAGGCCCCCTGGCAATCACTTTCTGTATCTATGAGTTGAATAATACAGTATTTGTCCTTTTGTGACTGCTTTATTTCACTTAGTGTAATGTTTTCAAGGTTTATCCATGTGGTAGCATATATCAGAATTTACTTCCTTTTTAAAGGCTAAAAAATATTCCATTGTATGTATATGCCACACTTTATTCATTTTTCTGTTGGATATTTGGGTTGTTTCTACCTTTAAACTATAGTGAAAGTGCCTTGCTTAAAAAAAAAATGACCATATTGTACTTAATATTGTGAACATAGTAGCCCTGTGTGCATAGGTAAGAACATTGTAGGAACACATTCTTTTTCTAACACATCCTATGTAGAACTACTGTTTTGATGACAATAGTCTTTAGTCTTAAGGCAATTGAGTCTTGTACTGTTTGCTAAGACTGCAAATTAGAGAATATGACAGTGTTTTGTAATTTTTAAAAAAATGACCCAGTCTCTTAAGGTGCATTTTGTTTTTCAGTAAATGTAGTGATGTTATAGAAAATAACTTTACTAACATTCCAGTAGGAACTGTACCACTTGTTCACCCCACAAGTTTCATGCGTATCTTAAAGGTTACTCATCCTATTGATTCTGCTTTCTAATCTCATACCATTTTTTCCTCTCCATCTTCATAACCTCAGGTCAGGCCTTGTCATCTGCCTGGACTATTGCTATGATCTTTTAATCTATAGCTTTTTAATTGATCTATCTGTCCAGTATTACTTCTCCATCTCCTTTGATTTCTAAAACACAAATCAGGTTATATTTTTCCCTGTTTAAAGTCTCTCAGTGGTCTTACAGTGATTTTTATGAAGTAGGATGGGTTCTGCATGAAGAAACCAAAACAGCTCAGGGAGATCGAGGTTTCTTGGCTGGGCTGTGCTGGGCCCAGGCTAGCATATAAACCTTATGCCCCAGAATCCACAGTTTCCTCATCTGTTGGTTAGTAGAACTACAGTCCCCATTTTTAAAATAAAAGACAGCTGCATTACATGGGAACTGGGGATATTTGAGAAGTGCCAGAAAAATTATTGTTGAAATTAGAAATTGCTAATTTTTACAGTCTAGATTCCTGGTAATATTCACTTTAAGCATATGTTACTTGGGATAATTGTGCTAAATATTTGTATTATTATACTAGATATTCCTGTGACTCTACTTCCAGTAATTGTTCTCCTACAGTGAAAGTTATTTCGTCTGCTGCCAACATCCCTTACTCCTGATTATTTTCTCTGATCACACTGTTGTTTGATAGAACAGAAAGTTGGTAATTAACTTGAAGTGACTTTTTGGTTATTTTTCATCTTTGTTTCTAGATTTTAACTAGCTTAAAGATTTATTTGTGTCTGTCTCTCCCTTAGAAATATGATTTTTAGGTTATGGCAGATAACAGGCCAAAAGTAATAAGCAGGATGCAGTTGAGGAGGAGAGCTGCTTGGAAATAAGAGACAGCAAATGAGAACTCAGAGAAAATATTACCAAGAATAGACTAACAGCCTGGTGTCATTTCTGTAGGGACAAATGTCTTCTTAGTACTTGTGAGCATTACTGTGTTATGATGTGGAACTGTGATTGATAATTATAATCATGATGGTCCTGAGTCATCAGAAAAGGTTATGCATATCTAGTATTGGTGATTAGTAAGACAGGGTAAAAGCATAGTATGATTTTAAAGATTCCATGAAAAAAAAAGAATATTTATGGCCAAAGGGTTAAGCAGAATTTTTCATGTCACTTTACTTATGTGCATATATTTCATTTCTTATTGATGCCATATTAAAAAACATATATAGCTGCCATTATTATAGAGGCAATATAGCATAATGGTTAAGAGCACAGCTGGACTATGTTAGGTTCAAATTCCACCTCTACTACTTACTAACTATGGAACCTCAACCAAGTCACTTAACCTATGTTTCCATTTCCATATATAAAATGAGGATGATGATAGTGTCAATCCCAGGTCACCCTACATGATTGCTGTGAGGATTAAATAGGTTAATGCAATAAAGCACGTAGAGCCCTTTAGTACATTGTAAGTACTCTGTTAAGTGGGTTTATTTTTATTTTATGATTATTATTGTAGTTTGATGTAGAGTTTTCACCCTTCCCATTCTTTCTCTCCCCCCCCCCCACCTTTTTGTGTAGGTATTTGCTTGGGGCTATAACAACTGTGGCCAGGTGGGATCTGGATCCACAGCAAATCAACCAACTCCTCGCAAAGTTACAAACTGTTTACATATTAAGAGGGTAGTAGGCATTGCCTGTGGTCAGACCTCATCCATGGCTGTTCTGGACAATGGTGAGGTGAGCTATCTCTGTATTCCCCTTTCACCTCCCCATCTCCTCTTTCAATGAATGTCTTTTTTTTTTTTCCCCCATGACAGTGTGTGCATTAATTAGATCATGGAAGGAAGAGCGCTTTGCTTGGATAGCCCCATTGAGAGTTAACTGGTTACTGACTGAGGAGTAACTGGGAAAGTTTTCTCCTCAGTGTGAAATTTTAAATTTGAAGATTTGTCTGCAGGATTCTGATGTGTCTAAGTTTAATTTTTTTTTCAAGATCCAAGTAGCTTAATGCTTATAGGTATTTGTGATTTAATTCACTGATTAAAAATTCTGATATACTTCATTCTTACAATAAAAAAATCAACTGTGCACTCTTTGAAGTTAGCTGATGATGTTTATAAGCAGTTGATGACTCCAGTGTGCATGATGTCTCTGTAGAACTACCTGCCTATTTCTGGAATGTTGTTCACAGGAAGAAGTAACATGCAACAACAGAACTTTCTGTTCTGATTGTTGTTAGCTACTTTTAAAAACCCACCTTTCAGTGACCCCCTACCATGGTCATTTTGAATGAATGGTTATTTTTTTAAAAAATATTCTGGTTGCAACTTCTGCTTAAATGAACCTGTTACCACCTCTGCATGTGTTTGTACACAAAAATTCTCCAAAGATACATCTTTGGACATACAGGCATGGTATCATGCTTTGGAGTGCTGGAATGCTAACCTATCTTAACTTACTTTTTTAATCAATTCTGGTATCCTGGATAAGTTCAGAATTCCTTGGGATAGTCATATGACATCCTCCATTTCAGTATTCTTCACTTCCCTTTTATTTTTAAAAATAAATTTAATTGTAAAATTATTATGAGGTTATTTTAACTAAGGAAAACAAATGAAACACATAAAGTAAAAAGTAAATGAATACATTTTCTCCAATCTTGTTAATAGTTTGGTGTACGAGGTCTGTCCAGAAGGTATCCAGCCATGGAATATGAAAAGGAAAAGACATTTATTGAAGAAGATACAAGCTACAAGAAACATTGTACATAGGGCAGTGATGCCTCAGTCCCCTTTAAAGTAGACACCTTGGGACCTCACACAGTTCTCCCAATCACCATCAGCTACCCTGTCTTATTTTCCTGAATCTTTTCAAAGATCTGAAATCTCTTCCTTTTCAAAGGTGATTTTAGTTTTGGGAAAAGCCAAAAGTCACAGGGTGCCAAATCTGAGCTGTAGCAGAACTGAGTCACCTGGGTGATACGATGTTTTGTTAAAAAACCGTGCACAACATGTGATGCATGAGCGATGTGTTGTCATGATGAAAATGCCAGTCACCAGTTGCCCATAGCTGTGGCCTTCTGAATTATCTGAATAATTTCTGTGGAGAAATTCAAGCTTAATGCAAAATTAGATGCAGATTCATTACTCAGTCGTTTTGAAATGCTATGCCACACAGTACACATGCTCACTCAACAGCGTCTACTGCCCCCACTGACTGGTACAGTGAAGTCATCATTGTTCACACATGTGCATTCCAGTCTACTTTCTTTGGCTGCCAGGTTATATCAGTGTCATACAAACCATTCTCGTTATATTAAAATGGCTGCACTTTTTCTGGACAGACCTTGTATGTCATTTTGGATTTTTCACTGTAAATAGTTATATATGGGTGAATATGGGTGAATAATCCCTTTTTTTTGAAAAATGGGGTTATTATGCTTATTGCTTTTCCCTCCTATTCTGTAACTTCCCAGCTTGACAATATGTGTTTTGTTGTCAAGCTAAGAAGTTACAGAATAAGAGGGAAAAGCAATAAGTACAATACCTGAATCTATTATCACACCATTTGTAGCTGCTTTTTATATACTAATTACTGCTTAGTTTTTCTCTTAATGGATGACCCACATCCAGAACTCTACTGATGGGCATTTCATTTGTTTGTAATATTTTGCTGTTATAAACAATGTTGCACTGACTTTCTGTATTACTCTTTTTGTATGTGTATCTTTGTGCACTTAGGCAAGGATTTGTATAAGTTCTCAGAAATAGGATTTCTGGGTTAGGGAATATGCCATTAAAAATTTTGATGTCTGTTGCCAAATTTCTCTCCAGAAAGTTCATAGCTATTGCACTTATGGTATTGAAAGTGCTTTTTACCATCTGTTGCTAGTACCTGAAAGTCCATGTCCCCCTTTCCACCTCTGTCACATTGCCCTGAAAAGCCACAGCCAGTTCCTGTTTGCCCTGCATTGCCATGAGGCATGATGCCACCACACATCTTGGGTTTCTAATTTGAGCTAGACCCTTTATCTGTTCCTGTCCCACACTGGCTATTCTAAACTTTTAACACTTCTTTCAAACCTATGCCCAGCCCTGCTACTTTCTGCTGATGACTCCCCTCTCGCTCCAGATATCTAAGGGATCACCACATTCTCTCACATCTTCCTCTTTAACTTAATTTTTACCATTTCCTCTCTCAGTCCCACTGCCACTGCCTTGGTTTGAACCCTTATGAGAACTCACCTATTTGCTGATGAGAAATGAATTTATCTCCTGAATGTACACACTCTAGTCACCTTTCATGTTGTAGCCGTGTGATGTTTCCAAAATGAAAATTTAAGCATATTAATTTCTGTTTTGAAATATTTCAGTGAAAGACCCATAGAAGCATTCCAGTTTCTCTGGTATGTGCTTTGGTACTTTATCCCTTTGGCTCTTACTTTCTAGTCTTTGTCCTTCCACTATCCTATATGTGTCCAGCCAGGCCCACTTACTTATCTTCTGAATGTGCCTCCAACAGATTCTGTGCCCTGTCCCTGGAGTGCCTTTATCCTCATCCATCATTCAGCTCTGCTCAATTTCCATGTTCTGAACAGTCTTACCTTAACTTTCTTTCTATAGCCAAATCCTTTCTCCTCTACTCCTGCAGTGCCTTGATTATATCTCTGTTATAATCTTGGCTGCAGAAGATTTTCATATGTTCATTGCCCCTGTTAAATGGTGATTAAAGACATATTCCCAGTACCTTTCACAATGTTGTAACATATGGTAAGTGCTTAATAATTGTTAATGAACCTCAGCTTCTTCATGTGTAAAACAAGAATTAGTGACTTTCCCAAAGCCATCCAACTAGTAAATTATAGAGTAGGAACTGATGCCAAATTCTGTTCATTCCCCACCTCTAAAACATCTACTTGGAGATCAGTATAGGATTACATAGAATAGAATGTGGGTGTTAGAAGTAAAAAAAAAAAAAAGTGTAACTGATTTATCTTTTCCCTCTTACTAGCACTTTTTTAAAGCTATTCTTTTCCCTTTTCTTTCTAAGGTATATGGCTGGGGTTACAATGGCAATGGTCAGCTGGGCTTGGGAAACAATGTCAATCAGCTGACCCCTGTGAGAGTAGCAGCTTTGCACAGTGTGTGTGTGAACCAGGTATGTTTGGTGGACTCTTAACTGCCACTCCCCATCTGTCTTCCCTGCTCTGATTTAGAGGAATATTAGAGATTTACTCTTCAATAAATCTTTTTAAACAGTGCCTGTGCCTTGATCTTCCACATTTGATATCATATCCTCCCTAAATTCTGAGGATGAGGAGGAAGACCATGGTGATGGCACGTTAGTCTTGACAAGTAAAAAAAGCAGTTGGAAAAATTCAGCTGTCTCAGGTTTAGGCTTTTCTAATGCTTTTTTTAATGTTACAGAGAATGTTATCCCACACCAGATGATGAATTGGCATTCTGTAGAAACTGGCTATAATCTTTAAGTAGATGGTTTTTCCCTGTCTTTCCTGTTTTCCTGTTTATGGTAACCAGTTAAATTTACTTGCAGATTGTCTGCGGCTATGCACACACTCTAGCACTAACAGATGAGGGCTTGCTCTATGCCTGGGGAGCTAATACGTATGGGCAGCTGGGAACTGGCAATAAAAATAACCTGCTAAGCCCAGCACACATCATGGTGGAGAAAGAAAGGTAACTTGGCTGTACCATGTCTTGGGATCATGTGTGCATTGTGGACTGGGGACTCTGTGTGCTGGAGCTATTGTGTTTGGCTTTGTAACTCTTCTGTTTATTAACATTCTCATTTTAAACAGAATGTGAGTACCAGCTAGAATGAACATGAAGTTGATAAAATTCTTATGTACCTTTCTAAAATCACGTCCTGATTGATATGCATTAATGCATTTTGGTAAAATCCTACAAACTTCTTGTTGCCCATTTAGTAGGGAAGTAAAATAGGGTCTGCCACCATGTTGAAGTACAAAATTTTCCTTTGAGCCAACTAAAACAACTTTTAAATAAAATTTGCCCTTGAAAGGACATTATCTTTTTAAATATTGATTTGATGTAATGTGTGTTACAAGAATAGATGCTTAATATTTGTTCAGCCAAATCATGAGGTCTTACCTACTAAGTTTTAGAATGTTGGCTTTTGATTCTGGGACCCTGCATAAGAAACAGGCTGAGAAATGTAGTAACTTTGGCTTGATGCCCATTTGACTTGTAGTGTTCAGAGTTCATGACCCCTAGACCAGTGTTTATAAGCCTAATGAGTGTACTGAGCTTTGGTTGGGGGTGAGAGAAAAAGTTGTGCTTGTAAGGAAATGGTATATTGAAGATAGTATTATTATTTTTTTTTTTTTGCTATGGTCTAAACCCCTAGAACTGTCAGAAAATTTTGTCAGAGTCCACTTTCCTTGTTTACTTTGGTTTCTAGTCCCTTTTTCCAAGTTTCTTCAACAGTTATGTATTATTTACCTTAACTCAAAAAGAGGTTAGGATGAAAAGTGGGGCAACCAGGAAGTACTTTTGCTCTACCTTGTGGTTTTGTCTGTAGGACATGATATAGCTAATGTCCCTTGATCTTTAGCTGTTTTTGAGGTGTTCCAAGCATGAACATTTTATTTACCTTGTGTGATATGTTGTGGGCTTTTGTAATGTAGAGATGACACATCATTTTCCTTAAAATATTTCAGGGTAGTAGAAATTGCAGCCTGCCACTCTGCCCACACATCTGCTGCCAAGACTCAGGGTGGGCATGTGTACATGTGGGGCCAGTGCCGGGGCCAGTCAGTGATCCTGCCTCACCTTACCCACCTCTCCTGCACGGATGACGTGTTTGCCTGCTTTGCCACTCCCGCCGTCTCCTGGCGCCTTCTGTCTGTAGGTAAGCAAGCTCAGGGCTGCTTCTACCCAGGAAGAATCATCCTATCAGCTGACCAGTTTTCCTGTGTATTTGCTGGTTACTTGCTCAGATTCTAGAATTTTTTATTCTCCATTAAATTTAATCTGTCCACAAATTAGATTTACTTAATGAAATTTATTAATATGTTATAAAACATTATATGGATTATTTTCTCCCCTTAAGCGTTTTCACTTTAATTGAGGTGAAATTCATATATTACATAAAATTAACCATTTTAAAGTGTACAATTCAGCAGCATTTAGTTATTCACAATGTTGTGCAATCTCTATTGATATCAAATTCTAAACAGTTTTCATCACCATAAAACAAAACCCTGAATCTATTAAGCAGTCACTTTATGCTCCCTTTCCCCCACCAACCACTGGCCAGTTTGCTTTTTGTTTCTATGTATTTACCTCTTGTGGATATTTAATATAAATGGGATAATATAATACCCAACATTTTGCGTCCAGCTTCTTTTACTTAAGATTTTTGAGACCCATTCATGTTCTAGTATGTATTAGTACTTCATTGCTTTTTATAGCTGAATATCCCATTGTATGTATATACCACATTTCATTTATCCATTTATCTGTTGAAGGATATTTGGATGGTTTACAATTTTTTATTCACAACAGCATTATTTTGAATAATGCTGTTTTGAGCATTTATGTACAGATATTTGTGTGAGTAACCTGTTCCTAAGTGCTTTTATTGTTATACTAAATTTATTACATACTTCAATATAATATGAACCAAAAATGAATTTTAGAAAAGGTGAAGAACTTGTAAGGTGATGTGTTAGCTTCAGTTTCTTCCTCTCTTTTTCTGTCAATTAATTTCAAATACATTTATTTTAGAGGGGCATCAAAACAGGTATTATAAAGGGTAGCAGAAATCAGGGTTTTTTTTCTGAGTAGTCATTAACAGATATCTTAATTTCTTTTTATTTTTTTTCTTGTTCATTTCTGCCTTTTGGCCAGTGTATTTCTTCCTAGTTATTTTGTTTGTATGAAGAGGAAATAAATAGGTCATAATGCCTAAAGTTTGAACATTAATGTAGCTCTTGATAACCAACAGGTTTGGGTTGTTCAGCAATTGACATTGAAAGCTAGTCTTGTAATACATGTCATGCTGAGACGTGTCACACAGCTGGAGCTGTTCCATCATCAGTCTTTATGGTCTTGCAGGCAAGAGTATGTTTAAGCAGAGTAAAGCTGCTGCTCAACTTAAAGTGAAATAAATGGAACCATTTCAGATTTTTAAATAATACAGCAATTTTTTACAGTGAATATTTTGATTATGAAAATTTGGTTCACCATAAAAATCCAAGAAAGAAACATAGACAGTAAAACCTTGGGCATTTCTCTTAGCAATAATTTTTTCTGACATACTGCCTCAGGCAAGGGAATAAAAAAAATAAATAAATGGGATTATGTCATCTAAAAAGTTTTTTCACAGCAAAGACAACTATCAACAAAATGAAAAGACAACCCACTGAATGGGAGAACATATTCACCAATAATACCTCTCATAAGGGGTGTATATTCAAAATTTATAAAGAACTCAGAAAGCTCAACATCAAAAAAAAATCCAATTAAAAAATGGGCCTCGGAATGGAATAGAGACTTTTCCAAACAGGACATACAGATTGCCATTAGACATATTAAAAGATAATCAGTGTCACTAATCATCAGAGAAATGCAAATTAAAACCATAGTGAGATCTATCTGCTCATACCATTCAGAATGGCTGTCTACAATAAATAGCAAACAATGAGTGTTGGCAAGGATACAGAGAAAAAGGAACCCTTATGCAGTGTTAGTGGGAATGGATATTGTTTCAGCCACTGTGGAAAGCAGTATGGAGTTTTCTCAAAAAATTAAAAATGGAAATAAAACTATTTTGGGAACTTCTGGCCAAGATGGAGGCATAGGTAGATACACTTTGCCTCCTCGCACAACCAAAGAACAACAACAAGTTTAAAAACAAAAAATAACCAGAACTGCCAGAAAATAGAACTATATGGAAATCCAACAACCAAGGAACTAAAGAAGAGACATCCATCCAGACTGGTAGGAGGGGCAGAGACGGGAAGCTGGTGCAGAGAGGATGCATGGCAAGGTGGCAGGTGGAGGACCTGGCAGTCCCACATTTGCTTGCAGATAAAGCAGGAGAAACAGTTGGGGAGCGAGACAGACTGTGCAATCCAGGGTTCCAGTGCGGGAAAAGAAAGCCTCAAAACCCCTGAAGGTAAAAAACCGTGGGTGTTGGCGGCGGCAGGAGAAACTCCTAGCCTCACAGGAGAGTCCGTTGGAGAGACCCACGGGGTCCTAGAATGTACACAAACCCACCCACCTGGGAATCAGCACCAGAAGGGCCCAGTTTGCTTGTGGATAGTGGAGGAAGTGACTGAAAACCCGCTGAGAGCCAAGCAAGCGGCATTGTTTCCTCTTGTACCCCTCTCCCCCACACAGCCCCACAACACAGCAATTTGAGTTCTCCCGCCCTGGTGAATACCTAAGGCTCTACCGCTCCCAACATAACAGGCATAGTAAGACAAAGAAATATGGCACAAATGAAAGAACAGATCAAAGCTCCAAAAATAAGACTAAGTGATGAACAGATAGCCAGTCTATGAGATACACAGCTCAAAACACTGGTAATCTGGGTGCTCACAGAATTGGTTGAGTATGGTCGCAAAATGGAGGAAAAAGTGAAGGCTATGCAAAGTGAAATAAAGAAGAATTTAGAGGGGACCAACAGTGAGGGGAAGGAAACCAGGACTCAAATCAACAATTGGGAGCAGAAGAAAGAGAGAAACATTCAACCAGAACAGAATGAAGAAATAAGAGTTCAAAAAAATTAGGAGAGGATTAGGAACCTCTGGGACAACTTGAAATGTTCCAACATCCGAGTCATAGGGGTGCCAGAAGGAGAAGAGGAAGAGCAAGAAATTGAAAACTTGTTTGAAAAAATAATGAAAAGAAACTTCCCTAATATGGTGAAGGAAATAGACATACAAGTCCAGGAAGCACAGAGTCCCAAACAAGTTGGACCAAAACAGAACCACACCAAAACACATCATAATTAAAATGCCAAAGATTAAAGATAAAGAATCTTAAAAGCTACAAGTGAAAAGCAGAGAGTTGCCTACAAACAAGTCCCTATAAGACTGTCAGCTGATTTCTCAAACTTTGCAGGCAAGAAGGGACTGTGAACAAATATTCAAAGTGATGAAAAGCAAGGTCGTCTAACTGAGTTACCCTGTCCAGCAAAGCTATTATTTAGAGTGGAAGGGCAGATACAGTGCTTCCCAGACAAGGTAAAGCTAAAGGAATTCAGCATCACCAAGCCATTGTTACATGAAATGTTAAGTGGGCTTATCTAAGAAAAAGAAGAAGATCAAAACTATGAACATTAAAATGGCAAGAAATTCACAACTATCAACAACAATCTAAAAAAACAAAAACAAAACTTAGCAAACAACCAGAACAGGAACAGAATCATAGATAGATCATTTGGAGGGTCATCAACAGGGAGAGGAAGGAAGAATAGGGGAAAAGGTATAGGAATTAAGACACATAATTGGCAGGTACAAAATAAGGGGATGTTAAGAATAGTATAGGAAATGGAGAGGCCAAAGAAGTTAAATGCATAACCCATGAACATGAAGTAAGAGGGGGTAGACTGCTGGACGGAATGGAGAGTGGGCAGAGGGGGGGGAAATTTGGACAACTGTAATAGCATAATTAATAAAATATACTTAAAAAATTAATGACAAAGAATTCTCAAGGCATCCATGGAAAGAAGAAAGCACCTATAAAGGAAAGCCCTTTAGGTTATCATTTCACTCCTTAGCAGAAACTTTACAAGCCAGAATTGAGTGGAACCAAATATTCAAACTACTGAAAGAGAAATTGCCAGCCAAGAATAATATATTTAAAGTTGTCTTTTGTATATGAAGGAGAAATAAAGACATTTCTAGACACCCAGAAGCTGAAGAAATTTATCACCAGAAGACTTCTATTGCAGGAAGTACTCAAGGGGGTTATTCTACCTGAAGCAAAGAACAAAATGTCACAAAGCTACCAGTAAAATCACCAACAAACTTACAGCATAAACAGGGATTATTTGGGACAACAAAAATATAAAAGGAGAGGTGTGAAGGTCTTAATTTACAAATCAGGATGGAGATCAGAGACATTCAAAAGATAAAGGGCTACTGTATATATGAAACTTTCTTTTTCATAAACCTAATGGTTATCACATACCAAACCCCCAAAACAGACACATAACTTAAGAAAAAGAGGAAGCATAGGAAGTAAGTATGGAGTACCACCAAGCAAAAGCAACGAACAGAAACACAAAGGAGAAGATGTAATGGAGGCACAGAGCTACCAGAAAACAAAAGACAAAATGGCTATAGGAAATCATCTTACATCAATAATCACCCTAAATGTAAATGGACTTGTTCACCAGTAAAGAGGCACATAGTAGCAGATTGGATCAAAAAACAAAACCCAAGAGTAGGCTGCCTACAGGAGACACACGTAAGCTGCAAAGACAAAGTTAGATTCAAAGTAAAAGGGTTGAAAGTGATTCTCCAAGCAAATAACATCCACAGAAAAGCTGGGGTAGACATACTTATATCTGTCAAAACAGATTTTAAGATAATAAAAGTAACAAGAGACAAAGATTGACATTGTACGATGATAAAGGGGACATTGCATCAAGAAGACATCACACTTCTCAATATTTATGCATCCAGTCAGAGAGCACCAAAATATATAAAGCAACTACTAACACATCTAAAGGGAGAAGCAGACAAAAACACAATCATAATTGGGGACCTTAATACTCCATTGATAGCTCTAGATAGATCAAACAGAAAATCAGTAATGAAATACTGGCTTTACATGATACATTAGAGAGTCCAAATAGACATAACTGACATTTACAGAACCTTTCATCCCTGGACA